GGCAGGCCGCTCTGCTCATGGGATTTTCCAGGCAGTAATACTGGAATGCACCGCCATTTCCTTCTCCAGAGCAGGCCAACTGCAGCAGACTCCCTGATGGTCTGTGTACTCACTCTCATATTCCAACTCTGCACATCTTGTATTCACATCGGCACCCTGAGCTGCCCAAAGAGGCTCAACCCAGATGGTGGGTTTCTGGAAGGTCCCTGGAAAGAAGTCAGGGTCTGAGTCCAGGGACCTCCCCACCGCTCACTCCCCAGCTCAGCTCAGGAGCCCTTCCAGGTTTCACCAGCATCACTCTAGAATCCCAGTGCCCCCACCTCGCCCCCACTAAGTTCCAGGGACTCAAGTGAGATATGGGTCCCGGGAGCCCCAGGAGGACTCACCTGCAGGGTTTGGGGTCCTCTGGCCCAGACGCAGCCCTGAAAGTTAGAGATTTGCCACCTAAAGCTTGGGCTGATTCTCTCCCCATCAGGATCCCTGGTCCCTCCAGCTGCCTGAGCCCTGACATTCCCATGAACTGGTGGAGGGTGGGCATCCCGTGCCCTCCTGTGGTCCCCTCCCTGCCCTGCACATCTGGCCGAGGCAGAGAAGCACAGACAGGAGGGAAGGCATGTCTGCAGCTTTGAGCACCCAGCCACCCCCTACCCCCGCCCTGTACAGATGAGGAGACCACGGGGCCCTAGAGAACAAACAGGATGTGATCCTTGGAGGGTGCCACCACCCATCGGGGTTGCCCCAGCTGTGGACCTGCAGCAAGCGGCGGCCCCTCCATGGACCTGGCTCTACTGTCTCCAGGGAGGGCTCGGGAGGCATCTCAGCCCCGACCTGAGGTCTCAGTTCTTTCTCTTTCTGCCTGGTCTCACTGCCTGCTCTAGAGGGTAGAACCCAAGTTCTCGTCCTGAGTCAGCCCCAGACAGTGTGGCTCCAAATAGGACTCAGAACTTGATTTTACCAGTCCCCTGCAGAAACGGAATTTATTCTCATCTTTTGACCGTTCACAAATAATTGCAGAACACCTACTCTGTGCCAGGCATAGGTGTCACACAGCAGAAATACACCCACGACCCAGGTAAACCCATCTTCTGTAGGTGGTTGAAGAACTCAGATTCTGCGGAATGTGGGCATCAAAGGATAATAATCAATTATTTTTTTTAAAAGAAGAAATATGAGACTAACTGGGGTCTATGTCTACACTGTAAACATTTAAAAAAATGAAGCTCCTGAACTCTGGTCCAAGCACTTCATAGCAAATAAAAAATTAGGGAAAAAGTGGAAACAGTGACAGATTTTCTTTTCTTGAGCTCCAAAATTACTGTGGATAGTAACTGCTACTATGAAATTAAAAGACCCTTCTCCTTGGAAGAAAAGCTGTGACAAACCTAGACAGTATATTAGAAAGCATTGTGCCAACAAAGGTCTGAATAGTCAAAGCTGTGGTTTCATAGTAGGCACATACGAATGTGAGAGTTGGAGGTAAAGAAGATCGAGGACTGAAGAACATGCTTTTAGACTGTGGTGCTGGAGAAGACTCTTGAGAGTCCCTTGGACAGCAAGGAGATCAAACCCATCAATCTTAAAGGAAATCAACCCTGAGAGTATTCATTGGTAGGACTGATGCTGAAGCTGAACCTGGAATAATTTGACCACATGATTCAAAGAACTGACTACTGGGAAAGACCCTGATGCTGGGAAAGTTTGAGGGCAAGAGGAGAAGAGGGCGACAGAGGATGAGATGGTTGGATGGCACCGTTGACTCAATGGACTTGAGTTTGAGCAAACTCTGGGAGATAGTGAAGGACAGAGAAGCCTGGTGAGCTGCAGCCCATGGTCAGAAATGTCACACATGACTTAGTGACTGAACAACAGTGGCTACACTGTACTTGAGGGAATAGCTGCTTGAAGAGGTTGGACACCATGGGGGAGAAGCAAGTACATTCTAGAGAGAAAAGAACATTCCTTATACCCTGGGACACAGGGACTCTCTGGGTGCAGTGGGAGTTGGTGGTGGTCATGTACAGTGCTGTCCACTGTTCAAGGATGATGGTTTTATGTTTAAGAAAAATGGAATACAAGCAAAGACTGTATGATAAGAAAACTTTATGAAGGTCATATTATATTAACTGCTGTAGAGAAAAGGGATATAAGAGTATAAATTTAATTTTGTAAATTAAAAATAAATAATTCTTGACCTTCAATTACTCCAATAGGGGCATGTCTACCAGCATTCTAAATGATTTATGTGGATTTTTCATATGAAAATTGCCCCTTAATAAGGCAAAAACCCACTAACAATGGATGGAAATGATAGACTCTACCTTTGTGTCTACTTTTGATTGGGAGTAGAAAAGGAACTTGTTGAGTCTGAGTGTTCTCAGAAGAGTTCATGTGAAAGAGCACACAAATGTAAAATGGCCTATTTTCCGTGTATCGGAGTGTGTGTGTGTGTGTGTGGGGGGTGTTACTGCACTATTATTATTGTGAGGGAAGAAAAGGTGAGACCTGAGGTTGAGGTGGGTCACCTCTGGAGGACCATGAGCAGGCTGGAATTCTGATAGAAGAGTTTGGGGTTTGCCCTGAAGATGTGGGCACCATGGAAGGATTCAGGGCATAAAACAGATTCTGAAATGTGAGTTAGAAAGATGAAATGTGGAGGGCAAACTGGAGACGGGAGTGTGGGTCTGGAGCTCAGAAACCAGGGAGAACATGGCTGGGATCCAGGTGTGGCTGTGGGCTGGACTATGTGGATGAAGAGGACAGCAGGGGCCAGGGGCACCCTGGAGGCTGAATTCTTTTACTGCGTGATTGAATATGAGATGTAAGAGTCGAGGAGTTGAGTGTGACCTTCACTCCCCACCGTGGTTGGGTGGAGGCATCAGTGATGTCCTCAGAGACCTGGTGAACCGTGGGGTGGGGGAGTGAGCAGGGCTGGGGAGTTTTGCAAAGTACACTCTGCTCTCACAAGAGAGCACAACTCTTCTTCCTGGGCCCAGAGGGCAGGCTTTACTTCTCCCAGTGACAGGCCAGGGTGTGTAAGAAGCAGGATGTGTCTCTGTTCCCTTGAGGTGAAGCATGTGAGTCATTTCTGTCCCTTCAAAGCATCCTTTGATGCTTCATGTTGGTCTCCTTGTCAACCAATGGAGACTCCAGGATTCAGACAAGAATGGTCCTCATCAGAGTTCCTGATCAAGGACAGATATATATACTAGAACATATGATATACTTCCCTGAAGTGAAATAAAAATAAGGCAGAAAATAGCCTGCTAAAGTCATCAACTGCCTCAGGAAGTGGTATAACCACCACTGAAATCTATTGATCTATCTATCTCTCTATCTATATATCACCATGGAGAATGACATGCAAACCACTCCAATATTCTTGCTTGGACAATCCCATGGACAGAGAATCCCATAAGGTTTCAGTCCATCGTGTCGTAAAGAGTTGGACATGACCAAGAGACTAAGCACATCCATTATCTATCTATCCAGTTTCATTGACTTGTCATTGACATACAGCCCTGCGTGTAAAAGCTAATGATCTGACTTACATGTATTATGAAATGATTGCATGTTCAGATATACCGCACAGCAGTATGGTATATGCTCACTCACAATAGCAACAAGAAAGGAAGGCCCAGCATGTCTTCATTTTTAGTGATCCTGACATTTCTCTTGGTAAAACAGTCCTTGGGCGGTTTAGTTCTAAGCCAGGGGAAAGATCACACACTGAGAGATCAATGAGCAACTAAGGCTCCGTGGAGCTTGATCTTTGCCCTATTTGCCAGCTCAGTTCACACCGGGGTCCTCATGGTGTTACGCTCTTCAGCCCTCCTCTTGGTCGACTCAATTCACATTGTGCTACCAGTTGATAACTTAAAAAGCACAAGATTCTCAAATCTTTGGCTTTGGTGAAAAGAAGCAAAAAAGACAAAACGTGAAAATATCAATGGATTCACACAACATGTGCAATGCCTCCCCGGGGCAAGCGTTCCCTCTGCAGGCCTCAGTGATCTGGAGTGGAATGTCCGGTAGACCTTTCTGTGATGATGGGACTTTTCAAACATCTGCTCTGTCCTGCACCCTGGCACCTGGCCACATGACATGACTGAGCACTTGAAACATGGTGGGTGTGACTGAAGAACTGAACGCTTTTTTCATATACATGTAGAGTCCATGTCTGTACTGCGTGGCTGGGTAAGTACTTTATCAGCCAGTGCAGATCCAGACTGAGGGGGATTTTGTTGTCCTGTTTCTACCCCTGGAACCCCAGCAGCCTCAGTGCACAGGGCTGGGAAAAGATTGAGGGAGATTCCTGGATGGCTCAGTAGTAAAGAATCCTCCTGCCAATGCAAGAGACATGAGAGATGAGGGTTCAATCCCTGGGTCAAGAGATGCCCTCGAAAATGGAATGGCAACCGACTCCAGGATTCTTGCCTGGACAATCCCATGCACAGAGGAGCCAAGCGAACTCCACACTACCAAGGGGGTTGCAATGAGTCAGTTATGACTGAATTGCCTTAGCACGCACACACGCAGCCTCATATGGCTAGTGGCACCACACTGGATATCTCAAACAGAATATACTTCATGTTTTTATTTGACCATTTAGCATTGCTTTTATTATTTTCATGGAAAGCATTTTATTTTAAATATAGCAGTGTGCACATGTCAATCTTAAACTTCCAATCTATCTCTCCCCTCACCCTTCCCCTCCATAACTCTAAGATTCTTCTTTAAGTCTACAAGTCTGTTTCTGTCTTGTAAAAATGTTCATCCTTGAAAAACATTATTGAATAGACATTTTGTTTATTGGTTTTGTGTTTGTTTTAAAACAGAATAATTTGATGAAACAACTGGGAAAGTTTTTATGCTTTATTGGAATTTTAGAAAAAGTAAGATGATCATATTAACCTACCCAGTATGTGTGGTTGATTATACCATCTCCCCAATAAGTGAGACACATAAAATGGAGCCCTGGAAGAGCCAGGAGATTACTCAGAGGGTTTGGGGTTTTTGAAGATGATCCTGCAATCTTGGATTCCACTGTTCACCTCAGAGCTGCTGGGCGGCTTTGGAGGAGGAGGAGGAGTGTCCACAGAGAAGCCCCTTTAAAAAGAGATCTGAGTCTCCGATTTGTAGCACTCTGTGTGCTCACAGCCTGGGGCCAGGTCAGGGCTCAGCATGGCCTTTCTTTACATTGAATGCCTCATAGATACTGGGTTCGGGGAAAGGGTGCAAAGGGCTCAGGGGGGTGGGAGTATTCAGTCTCTCAGAGAGGGTCCCGAGGTCCAAGTGAGCGTATATCACATCTTCTGCTGGAGAGTCCTGAGAGGAAGGGGGTATGAATGACGGATTGAGACACGATCTTCGAAGACTGGGACATTGGACATTGGACGGGCCGATGCTATGGCAAGGGTTTGGGCTGGGAGGACTCACTTCATTGCTCACTGCTTGGTCTTCCTGGGGCTCTCCTTCCATGATGTCAAGATCTGCGAATGAAAGAGAGTCAAGGATCTTGGGGATGGAGGCAGTTATTCCAGACCTCCATAACTTTGATGGGGACATCAAAGCCAGAAAAACAGCAGGGGTGTGCCCCAGGTTGCTGAGTCTGTCTACTCCACTAAATTAAATGAAAAGAAAACATTCCATATACAAGGCCAGCCATTCACGGGCTGTCTCAGGAACCTGAGCAAACCACAGACCCATCCTACGTCTTCTGTTATGGACCATCCTCTTCTGCACATCAGCAGATTCCCGAGATTATGTAGGGGAGAAGAACAGATGATTGTAGTTGAAGGGAAGAACAGGGCTGCAATGTCCCTGATGTCCAGAGATTAAGTGTCCATCTTCCAGTGCAGGCAGCCTGGGTTCTATCCTTGGTGGGAGATCTATGATCCCACATGTCTTGACGAAACTAAGCCCCACGTGCTGCCACAGCTGAGCGCACGAGCTCTGGAGCCTGAACCACACCCCAGACTGCAATGAGGATCCCCCATGCTGCTGTGAAGACCTGATGCAGCCAAGAAGAAATCAACGCATATTTACATAAAAAGAACAGGGTTCCATGGGTCTCCAGAATATGCTCCCTCCGAGGTAACTACACCGGAAATGAGTTTTTAACCTACGGGAAGAGAAAACGCCACTCTCTGCTATGAGCCCACCTCCCCCTGGGTCAGATGATGCTGAGCTCAGCACCCTCAGACTTACGATTTTGGGTAGAACACCAGTGACAGACAAGAGCAGCGAGGAGGATGCTGGTAAAGGTGAAGACTATGGCAAGCCCAAAGATGATGAACAGCGCGCTGGACCGTTCTTGAGGAAGCCCTGCTTCTGTCAACAGGCAAACGGAAGGTCTGGTTTTTCATTGCATACACTGTGCCCCTACACATTGGTTTTATTGTATCCTTGCATCAAACTGTCAGCATCTGTCAACCTGATCACTTATGGTCTCCACTTACCAGGAGGTATCAAAGCATCCAGGAGAGATGCTAGCAGTGAATGAAGTAAAGAGGCCCTGCAAGACCAGCTGAGGTCTGAACCAAGGTCCACTGGGCACCAATGCAGGTTTTCCTTTCCCCTCGTCAAGGCATGGTACTTTTCCATGAATGGAGACCCCTTTACTCCACAATACATTTCCCCCTCATCCACATATGCCTGGAACGGAATCCTCAAGAAGAATTGACACTTTTATTTCTGAACTGTGGATGCTTAGTTCATAAAACACTAACAGAAGAAGAACATATTTAAGGTGCTCCCTATAATTCTTCACTTGCTGCCCCAATCCATCCCCAAAGATCATGGTGGAGGGAGGGTAAGCATGTCCCTTAGGCATGGGATCAGGGTACTCTGACCCACTTTCTTCAATTCCCAGTCGCAGGATCTCAATGCCCCCTCTGGTTCTCATGCAGACCACAGTCTCAAATGCTTACGTGAGAAGGATGCTGAGAAGCACAAATTCACAGACCTGGGAGCTGGAAGAGCCAACACTCAGACTGGACCCCTATGTCTTCTCAGGAATTTGCTGAGATAGGAGACCTTCTTGCTTACCTTCTGTGCTGCCTGGATCCATGGGTGATGTGCAAGTACTTGCAGTGGAACCTAGGAGAAAAAAGACAGAAGACGTGAGCCAGTAACCTTCCTCACCCCAACAAAGGAGGACTGTTCTTTCTGGAAGGTTGACCTCCTGCCTGCCCTTGACTCTGTCATCCCCCTGAACACTGATGGGGGGGCGGAGAGCTTCTGGTCCCTCCCCATGAATGCGTTGAGTAGACCTTCAATCCTAGCGAAGAGATGGTGGAACCAGGCAGGAAGGGTATGACTGGAGATGAAAGACATCTGTAAGCAAGAGACATTCTCTCTGCTCCAGGAATGAGTATCTATGCTCCTGAATTGGGAAATCACCTGTATGTCAGTGGTGCCTCTCAGAAAACATTAAGAGCAAGGGGCTAATGCAATCTCTGATCTTTCCAAATCAGCCCAGCCTCTCCTCCTGGATCTATCCTGACCCTTTTCTTTATTTGCCTGGATAGACAGGACTCTGATGAGAACCATCCATACAGGAGGTGGAACAGGGTTGAGATGCCATCGACGATCTCTCTTCCTCTCTGGTTCTCATTGCCTCCATTTCTCCCAGAAGCCCTAAGGTCCCCTGACACCAGCATGGAGCCCTTGAACTAGAGTTCAGTGATAGAGTAAGATGTTATGGAAAAAGCCAAATGGACTTTTTGGCCAACACAAGTGACTTAGTGCATGGTAAAGCACGGGACACTTCTTGGGGTTCTGGAAACAAGAATTCTGCAGTGGGTTGCCATATCCTCCTAGGGGACCACGTTTAGCCAAAACTCTTCACTATGATCCATCTGTCTTTGGCGGCCCTGCACGACATGGCTCATAGCTTCACTGAGTTACACAAGCCCGTTTACCAGGACAAGGCTGTGATCCACGAAGGGGTGATAGTGAAGAACAGGGGAGTCTGTCATGTTGTAGCCCACGGGGTTGCAAAGAGTTGGACACAATTTAGTGACTGAAGAGCAACAAGAAAGCTGGGCCAGGAGGAGGGTCCTCACCTGTGACAGACAGGAGCAGGGGGTCGCTGGCGTCTGACCACGCGTAGGGAGAGTGAGTGAAGGAGCCGTAGCACCTGTAGACCCCGCTGTGGGCTGGGGTCCCAGGACCCAGAGGGAACTCTGCCTGGAGTGCTCCGCGGGTGCCCCGCCCTGCAGCGAGCAGGCGCCCAAGGTTCTCCCCCTCCCTGATCAGATGGAACTGGTGAAAGGGGTGCTCGGAGCTGCAGAGCAAGGTCACGTTCTCTCCTGAGCTCTCCATGGGGCCCCCCTGGGCTGAGAGAGAGGGTTTCTTGGACCAACCTGGAAGGAAGAGACCTTGATCTTAGAGCATAAAGTAACTCTAGACCTAAATAGGGGACTAAAGCCCAAAGTGTGCAACCAGAGGAGCATTACAATGAGAAGAACGCCCACTGCCAGGAGAGAAAGCCCCACAGCTAGGAATACCCAGGACAGGGAAACATTCAAACGTAACTTTAATATTGGAGTGTCACTTAATATCCTTTTCTTAAAAAAGAAATATAGGTAAATGAACAACTGTATCATGCTTATGTACAACAGGAGTTAGGAACATCGTAAACCAACCAGACTTCAACAAAAATGAATAAGAAAAAATATACTTTAAAAATCAAAGAGATGTGGGGTTCTCTTGAAAAATAGAACCTACTAGGTTCTGCTGGCACCATCAGAAAACATGGTATTGACCCAGAAAAAGACATTATGGCCAGGAGATTGGCAGAATCTCATTGGATCTTTGACTATCTCAAACTTGAGGGAGTGTTCAGCGCTGCCCTGCCCACCCCGAGGGGCTGGAAGGGACTCCTTAGTGGGGAGGGTTGGCAGGGACCACTGCCCCCACTTTGTGCAGAAGGAAGCGTTAAACCACAAGGCTGAGCAACTTCAAGATTTCGACCTCCGTCCTGACCACCCAGGGGCCAGACTGCAAGGGCATCTGGTACCACAGTGCTTCTGACAGAGGAAGGGAGCTCTGACATGAAGGCGGGAAACCAGCCCCTTAACCAACCAGTGCTGGCTGCCTCAGCCAGGAACTGCCCGGGTCCCTGCTCTGGTGCATCTTTCTCCATTGCTCATTCTTTCACGTTCTTGCTGCTTCACTCTATCACCGGCTGTGTCTGCTCTTTACTGCATAGCAGGTACTCTGTTCTCTTTCCCTTCCGTGTTCACACCTCCTCTCTCTCTGGTTTGTTCCCTCTGCCGAGTGTGTGAGCGTCTCTTCACGCCTGTCATTTTCTCCCGGTACTGATGCTGGACTGGACACCAGACCTTCTGTGACACAGACAGCAGAAGGGACTGGTCTGGACACACTCACCTGTGATGACAATGTCCACGGGGTCACTTGGGGCTGACCACTCATAGGGGGAGCGGCTGAGAGAGCCATAGCATTGGTAGGAACCCGCACTCGCCAACGTCATGGGGCCAATGGAGAAGTCAGCCGGGGTATGTCCGCCCGTGAACGTCTCTCCATGTCCATGGAAATGCCCGTTGCTGCCTTTTTTGTGCAGCATAAATTTGTCCAGCAGCAGCGGTGAGTGACAGCGGATGGTCACATTCCCTCCCGCCCGTACTATGGGGCCTGGGTGGGCTGAGATGGAGGGTTTTGTGAACACACCTAGGAGCAAAGAGGTTGTGAGCTTCAGTGAGTCACCCACTCTCGGCGCTTCCCCTGACATCTGAAGGTGTGAAAAATGTCCCTGTGAACCAGCAAAGTCAATTACCCTTCCTGTCTGTTCTGTGGTATTCTCTCTAGCCTTGTTCTCGGATTTGGCTCATGCTTTTCAGTTTCTCTTTGCTCAGACCTCCAGCCTCCTCTCTGTTTATTCTAAGCTCTTTAGCTATTGGATCTGCTCTCAGTTCATGCATGCATGCTCAGTCACTTCACTCGTGTCTGACTCTGTGGGACCCCATGGAATGTAGCCTGCCAGACTCCTTTCTCCATGGGATTCTTCAGGCAAGAATACTGGAGTGGGTTGCCATGCTCTCAGCTTCATCCCATCCCTAATTTGCATTTGAGGGCTGGGGTGGTTCTGAGCATTCATACCCTGGCTCCCTTCACACACGTCTCCTATAATGTGGGTGATGACTGGCATCAACAGGAAGGAAGTGGAGAAAAAAGGGAACATTTCCCATCTGTGACCCCACCTCATGCCTCTGGAGATGTTCCTGGGTCTCCTCCCTGGACCCCAGCTCCTTCACAGGGGATTACATAGCTCCCTACTGGGTGGCAGGTGCTGGATCAGGGTTGTGCCCATCCTCCCTCCTGGCAGGCAGTGCCCACATTCTGTCTGACTAATGCCCAGGGAGGCTCCTCCTTCCTGAGCCAGGCACCCCATCCCTCTATCAACACCCTGAGTTTAAACTCTCAGAGTGGGTTCTCTTTCCCTGGTTAGGTTTTGGCTGGGAATCCTGAGGATGTCTTTGGCTGCACTGGCATGTGGACCTAGGATACGAATGCCTGCAGGCTCGGCCATGCCAGGTTGGGATGGACCCCTCCTACCTGTGACCACAATCTGCAGGGGGTCACTGTGTGTGGACCACACAGAGGGAGACCAGTAGGATCCAGAACATGTGTAGGACCCGGCATGTTCTCTGGTCACTGGGCCAAGAGTGAAGTTGTTGAGTTGATGTTTCTGGAGCTTGGTCAAACTGGTTGCATCTTTTTTGAACAGACTGAATATTGCAAATGGAGAACGGGAGTGACACCGAAGAGTCACAGTCTGTCCTAAGGGAACCACGGGGCTTGGCAAGGCTGACAAAGAGGGCTTGTCATATTCACCTAGGACAGAAGGAGGCACAGGCTTTGAGAAGCAAATAGGAACAGTCTCCTTTCCACCCTGCCCCCATGGGCCCTTCCCCTTCAATTCTTGAAAGTCTCCTCTCCTAAAGTGCATCACCTTGATGCTCAAGGACATCTTGCATTTGGGTGCAGACAGAGACACAATCAACCCAAGAGGACATCATGGAGATTCTAAGAATATGATTCTCAGAAATGATTCAGAAGAATCATTCTTTGGGTTGGCAAAACGTTGAAAAACTTTCTCTCAAAACACAAAACACTGGGGATTCCCTGGCGGCCCAGTGGTAAGGACTCAGCACTTTCTCTACCAAGGGCCCGGGTTGATCCCTGATCAGGGAACTAAGATCCTGCAAGCTGCATGATGCAGGCAAAAGAAACCACCACGGAAAAATTGATACATGGAAAAGAAGTGAAAGGGCTTCCGTGTTGGATTTGTTGTAGCTCAAATGATACAGAATATTCCTGTTATGCAGGAGAGCAGGCTTAAATCCCTGAGTTGGCAAAATCTCCTGGACAAGGTAATGGTAACCTCCTCCAGTATTCTTGCCTGGAGAACCCCATGGACAGAGGAGCCTGCTGAGCTACAGTCCGTGGGGTCAGAAAGAGTCAGACACGACTGAGTGACTTACAGTAACACAACTAAGAAGAGAAAAAGCCACTTGACTGAAAGCAGGAAGGAAACCATGAGCATCGCTCCTTTGTTAGCTAGCCTCCATCAAATGTGGGACCAGGTCCAGGTGGCCCTGCCTGATGCCCAGCCCCTCCCCTGGGGTCAGGTCTAGCAGGTGGTCCTGCATATCCTGTTGTAAAGGGCCGGTAGGAGATGCCACCTTGTCTGAGAAGGGTCTGTGGGCTGCAGCTCCTTGCTCCCTCTCATGATAGAAATGGCACTCAGGGGGCCCAGCTCCCACCTCCCAGACTTCACGCTGTCCCTTCAGGTCCAGAGTGCAGAGCTGGGCTAACCTCTGGGGAGAGTGAAGATGAGTATCAAGGGCAATAGGAAGACCTGGGATCCACAGGGCACGTGGCTCTCACTGTACTGACAGGGGTCTCACCCTGCCCTCCAGTGTCATCTGCCTCAGCCCCGCCTGCTCTGCTGAACACAGAAATAAGGGGTGTGGAGGACTCACCCACAGCTGCCCAGATCCTCAGACTCACGTAGAATCCTAGAAGCAAAGGCCCGTCTGAGATGGCTTGTCCCGATGGACCCCCTCCTTGCACCCTCATCCAGGGAACCTGGTCATGGTGTGAAGGGCCCCGATTTCCACCATAAACCTCTCCTGCCGGGCCTTTCCAGACTCACCTAGACTCAGGAGGCTGAGGAGTGTGGGGCACATGGCTCTGCTTCTGTGAGGCAGGAGGCAGGACTGAGCAAAGCTGACTGAGTCACAGGATGCGGAAGGCGGGTGGTGTTGTTCGTACAGTCAGCCTGGTGCATGTCACAGGGTAAGATGGGCAGCCTCCTCTCCTGCCAGGGATGGAAGTGTGACCTGAGCCTTGTCACTGAGCAGGCCTCGTGACCCAAGCATCACTTTTTGTTTCCCTGAATACTATAAACGTAGGAGGATTTGAACAGGTCTTGCTGCCTCATGAAGTAGTAACAGTGATTCAGTGTATACCATGTTGGTGGTGGTGGTTTAGTTGCAAAGTGGTGTCCAACTCTTGTGACCCCATGGATTGTATCCCACTGTGTTTTCTGTCCAAGGGATTTCCCACGCAAGAATACTGGCGAGGGTTGCCATTTCCTTCTCCAGGGGATTTTCCCAACCCACGAGTCAAACGCGGGTCTCCTGAGTTGCAGGCAGATTCTTTAACACCTGAGAGGCTTAGTTTCTATGAATATTTTGTTTGAAGAAAGACTGACTCAGTTCCTTTCCTTCTCTTGATGATGAGTTCTACTGCAGTTGTGCAGGTCTGGGAATTCCCTGGTGGTCCAGTGGCTGCTCCCTGATTTCACTGCTGAACAACCAAGTTCAATCCCTGGTTGGGGAACTAAGATGAGATCCTCGGAGCCATGAAGCCCAGCCCCCCACCAAAAAAAAAATATATATGCAGGGTTACTAACTGCTTACTGTCTAATGGTAACCACAGGGGAAAAAAAAGCCACACTGATTTATTTTCAGGAAAGATTTCTAAGGCCTCTCTGCTCCTGAATTTAAAAGAATTTTTTTCAATCATGTAAACTGGAATTCATTTTCCTGGTTAGAGTTTGTTACTCATTCTCTATAAAACAAACCATGGGGTTCAGTGCAGAGAAAACAACTATAATTAATATATATCCTCAACCAGAATGTCCAAGAATTCCAGCAATCCCCTCATGCTTTTACATAAGAGATGGTATGTTACCCTGATAAAAATAAAAATGCTTTAAAAGATGATCTTCATAAGAAAGATAGCCCTTCTGAAGAAATCCAGTTTTATCATGCAGGATAGTTTTCCCAATCTCATGATAAATGTCATTAACCTTAACTCTTTGCAGAAGAGAAATCACAGGTGCCCACTTCATATTTCAGGCTCAGTGCAGGTTGCCAATTAAGGACTCATTAATGGAGACTTTGATTCTGCATTCTCATAAGAGAAGGAGAGATGCATATTATGGCTCTTTGAACATTTTGTAAAAATTCTGAGGTGGAGTATAGGTTATTAAGAAACTAACTGTTAGTGTCAGGCATATAACAAGGTGATTCAGTTATACACAGACATGCGTCTATTGCTTTTCAAATTCTTTTCCCACTTAGCTAGTTACGGAATATTAAGGAGAGTTCCCTGTGCTATCCAGTAGGTCCTTGTTGGTCATCCATTTTAAGTATAGCCGTGTGTATATGTCAAAGCCAAACTGCCAACCTATCCCTCCCCGCACGCACCATCCCACCTGGTAACCATAAGTTCATTCTCTGTGAATCTCCTTTGTAAATAAGTTCATTTTTCTTCGATGTCACCAATGAGCAATATCATGTGATATTTGTCTTCCCCTGACTATTCTTTTTACCTGAAATTATTTCCTGACTATGAGTGGAAACTTTGTACACACACACTCTCTCTGTCTCTCTCTCTTTCTTGCCAATCCAAGGACCACATGTGTACACAAAAAAAAAACGTGTGCAAGATGATTGTGGGTTTTTTGGGGGGGGCGGTGGAATTGTTTTGCCAGAAAAGGTGGACAACCTTGCTTTCTACATAAAAATGTGTAAAGTAGAGACTTCCAAGCTCCAGAATGCTTCAGTGAGGGACGTGTCCTCAACAATCAGTTCCAAACCAGGAAAAATTATCCAACTGTTTCAGGATTCCAAGGGCAGACACACACCCAGGTCACCATTTGTTCATGGACATGATAGAACCTCAGTAAGGGCTGTGATTCTGTACCAATTTGCTAGGAGTGGAGATACTTAGATTAGTTATGCTCCCTAGGTAATAAATCTGGTCTCCTCTTGATTATTATGAATGTAATGAAGTAAGAGTACAGTCAGGGTCCTTAAATTTCCTTTTATTTACTTAATATCATGCTTCAAAATTGATCTGTACTCTTTGTTGTTTCAGTTTGTGCATTTTTACTGCCAAATACTCTTTCATTGCAGATACATACATTGAAAATTTTTTTATTTAAAAAAATTATTGAAGTATAGCTCATATCTTCTGTGCAGCAGATTGATTCACCTTGACAAATGTATTCTTTTCCATTATGATTTACAGCAAGATGCTGAATAGAATCCTCTGTGTCATCCTGTAGGACCTCATTGTTTATCCATTTTATGTACAAATAGATTTCATCTGCTAATCCCAAGCTCTCAATCCTTCCCTCCTTGGCAAACACAAGCCTGTTCTCTATGTCTGTGAGTCTGTTCCTGTTGCATTGATATGTTCTTTTTAGATTCCACATATGAGTGATAACATATGAAAATTGTCTTTGTGTCTTACTTTACTTACTATGTTAATCTCCCAGTCCATCCATGCTGCTGCAAATCTCATGATTTCATTTCTTAAATGTCTGGGTAGTATTCCATTGTGTGTGTATATAGACATATACAACGTCCTCTTTATCCATTCATCTGTCGATGGACATCTAGGCTGTTCCCATGTCTTGGCTATTGTACATTGTGCTGCTATGAACATAGGGGTGCATGAGTCTTTTTTCTTTATTTTTCATTTATTTTTATTAATTGGAGGCTAATTACTTGACATATTGTAGTGGATTTTGCCATACATTGACATGAATCAGCCATGGATTTACGTGTTCCCCATCCTGACCCCCTCTCCCACCTCCCTTCCCGTCCCATCCCTCTGGGTCTTCCCAGTGCACCAGCCTCGAGCACTTGTCTCATGCATCCAACCTAGACTGGTGATCTGTTTCACATTGATAATATATATGTTTCGATGCTGTTCTCTCAGATTATCCCACCCTCGCTTTCTCCCATAAAGTCCAAAAGTCTGTTCTATGCATCTGTGTCTCTTTTTCTGTCTTGCAAATAGGGTTATCATTACCATCTTTCTAAATTCCACATATATGNGCGCCGCCAGTCGGGTCTCAGGAAGTCTTTAGATAGGAACCGGGGGCCTGTTTGCAGTGTGGGAGGGGGTGGCTTCTCAGGGGCTGAGTTTGCCCTTTTCCCCTCCCCCCTGCCTCCTGCCTCCAGCAGGGATGGGCCGGCTCTTCTCTGGAGTTTCTCAGTCCCTTTTTTTTTGCGAACCGCCGGCAGTGTGTTCGGGCCGGTTAATTTTCTCTCTTGCTATCCCACAGTTTAAAAAAGCTCCCTCTGACCGCTCTCAGGGCCTTCGGGCCCAGTCCTTACCCTAAGCAATGCAGCCCGCTCCTCTCCGTTTCGCCTCCACTTGCTGCTGGTGGGTGCGGGCGTCTGGGGTACTTTTCTGCTGGGAGTTGCTTTTAGGCACGTAATCTGTGGGCCTTATTTAATTTTTCCTCCCAGTTAGAATACCGAAAACTTCCCCCAGCCCCGCCAGTGCGAGGGTTTCCTGGTGATTGGAAACTTCCTCTATTAAGACTCCCTTCCCGGGACGGGTCACCGCCCGTAGCTCTTTTTTATCTTTTATATTTTGTCCTACCTCCTTTTGAAGACAATGGGCTGCTTTCTGGGCACCTAATGTCCTGTGCTAGTGGTCAGAAGTTGCTTTGTGAAATTTGCTCAGCGTTCAGATGTTCTTTTGATGAATTTGTCGGGGAGAAAGTGGTCTCCCCGTCCTATTCCTCCGCCATCGTGGCTCCTCCCCAAAACCCACAATGATTGATGGATTCTCACACACATGCAAAGCCTGCCTGGGGCGCGTGTTCCCTCGGTAGCCCTTCAGTGATCTGGAATGCAATGTCCTGAAGAATTCTCTGTGATGACGGGACTCCTTAAATATCTGCCCTGTCCAGCACCCTGGCACCTGGCCACATGACGCTACTGAGCACTTGAAATGTGGTGAGTATGACTGAAGAACTGAACGCCTTTTTTAATATTCATGTAGAGTCACTGTCTGTCCCGCATGGCTGGGTAACTACTTTATCGGCCAGGGCAGATCCAGACTGCGGGGGATTTTGTTGCCCTGTTTCCACCCCCTGAAACACCAGCACCCTCAGTGCACATGTCTGGGGAAAGATTGGGAGAGCTTCCTCGATGGCTCAGTGGTAAAGAATCCGCCTGTCAATGCAACAGACATGAGAGACATGGGTTCAATCCCTGGGTCAAGAAGACCCTCTCGAGAAGGGAATGGCCACCCACTCCAGGATTCTTGCCTGGAGAACCCCATGCAGAGAAGGGCCTAGTGAGCTACACACCGTCCATGGGATTGCAAAGAGTCGAACATGACTGAACTGACCTAGCACGCACACACGCAGCTTCTTCTGGCAAGTGGCACCACACTGTATATCTCAGAGTATACTTCATCTTTTTATTTTGCCAACTTGCATTGCTTTTATTACTGTTTCATGGAAAGCACTTTGTTTTAAATATACCAGTGTGCACATGTCAATCTTAAACTTCCAAACTATTTCTCCCCCGACCCTTCCCCTCTGTAACTCTAAGTTTGTTCTCTAAGTCTGCAAGTCTGTTTCTGTCTTGTAAATAAGTTCATCCTTGTAAACTATTATTGAACAGAGGCTTTTTTAAAATTGGCTTCATTTTATTTTAAACTGAATAATTGGAAGGCTCAACTTGCAAATTTTTATGCTTTACTGGAATTCTCGAAAAAGTACGATGATCACGGTAACCTACCCAGTATGTGCAATTGATTAGAATAACTTCTCCCAAAATGTTAGATAGTTAAAATAGAATATTAGTATATCCAAGGGATTACTAAGAGTTGGTGGGACACTTGAAGACAATCCTATAATTCTTGGACTCCACTGTTCACCTCAGAGCTGCTGGGCTGCTTTGCAGGAGGAGGAGTGTCCACAGAAGAACCCCTTTAAAAAGAGATCTGGCTCTTCAATTTATAACACTCCCTGTGTGCAAAGGATGGGGCCAAGTCAGGGTTCAACATGGTCTTGGTTTACATCGAATTCCTCAAAGACACTGGGCTCAGCGGAGGGGTGCATGGGGCTCAGGGGAGTGGGAGTGAACAGTCTCTCAGAGAGGCTCCTGTGGTTCAAGTGGGCGAATATCACATCTTCTGCTGCAGGGTCCTGAGAGGAAGGAGGTGTGAATGATGGAATGAGATGCAATCTTCGAAGCCAGGGGCATTGGGCATTGGGCATTGTAGGGGCTCGGGCTATGGCAAGGGTTTGGGCAGGGAGGAGTCACCCCACCTCTCACTGTTTGATCTTCCTGGGGCTCTCCTTCCATGATGGCAACATCTGCGAACGGAAGAGAGTCAAGGCTTGTGGGATGGGGGTGGTTCTTCTAGACCTCCATATCTTCGGTGGGCACATCAAAGCCAAAAAAAAGCAGGGGTGTGCACCAGGTGGTTTAGCCTGTCTAGTCCACTTAAAAACAACAACAACAACAACAACATCCCATATATAAGCCCAGCCACTGACGGACTCTCAGTAACCTGTGCAAACCCACGGAGCCCATTGTACATCTTCTGTTATGGACCATCCTCTAATGCGAACCAGCAGATTTGCAAGATCATAAAGGGCACAAGAACAGATGGCTGTGGCTGGAGGGAAGAACAGGGCTTGGAACGTCCCTGGTGGCCGGGGATAAAGAGTCCTCCTTCCCGTGCAGGGAGTGTGGGTTCTGCCCCTGGTGGGAGAACAAAGACCCCAAGTGCTGTGAAGCAGCTAAGCCCCACAGGCTGCAACTGCTGAGCCCGTGAGCTCCAGAGCCTTGAACCGCACCCCAGCACCACAATTAAGATCCCCATCCTGCTGCCAAGACCTGATGCAGCCAAAAATAAATGAACACATATTTTCATAAAAAGAACAGGGTTCCATGGTTCTCTGCAAGATATTCCCTCAGGGAATACAACAATGGAAATCAGTTCCTAACCTACAGGAAGTGACAACACCATTCTCTGCTCTGAGCCCACCTCCCCCTGGGTCAGATGACGCTTTGCTTCCCTCTTTCAGACTTACGATTCTGGGTAGAACACCAGTGACAGTTTGGCTTTTCACACTTACTTTTTGGGTAACCAGTGACAGAGAAGAACAGCGAGGAAGAGGCTGGTATAGATGAAGGCTACAGAGAGCCTAAAGAGAAGGTGCAGCTGGCTGGAGTGGCCTTGAGGAAGCCGTGCTTCTGCCAACAAGCAAACGGGAGAAGTTCTGGTTATTCATTGCATACACCCTGCCACTACACACAGGATTTATTGTATCCTTGTGTCAGAGTGTGTCAGCATCTCTCAACCTGATCAGTTATGTTCTCCACTTCCCAGGAGGCACCAAAGCATCCAGGAGAGATGCTAGCAGTGGATAAAGTAAAGAGACTGTGCAGACCAGCAGAGGTCTGAACCAAGGTCCCTTGGGCACTGATGCAGTTTTTCTCTGGTCCCCCTCATCAAGGCATGGTGTTTATGCATGATTGGAGAGCCCTTTAATCCTCAATATGATTACCCCTCCATCCACATATACCTGGAATGGAATTCTCAAGAGGACACGATGCTTCTATTTCTGAACAGTGGGATGTTTATTTCATAAAACAATAGGAAAAGAATAGCACATATTAAAGTGCTCCCTACAATTCTCCTCTTCTCCCTCACGCCCACCATCCTTCCCCAAAGATCCTGGTGGAGGGAAGGTAAGCATCTCTCTTAAGCATGGGGTCAGGTCACTCAGACCCACTCTGTCCAATTTAGAAATTCCCAGTCCCAGACCATGAGAAACTCAGTGCCCCCTTTGGTTCTAATACAGACCATGATCTCAAATGCTGACATGACAGGAACGTTGAGGAGCCCAAAGTCACAGAAATGGCAGGTGGTAGAACCAACACTCACACAGAAACCCTGTCTTCTCAGACACTTTCTGAGATAGGAGACAGTCTTGCTTACCTTCTGTGGTGTGTGGATCCATGGTTGATGGGCAAGTACTTGTAGTGGGTTCTAGGAGAAAGTAGACAGAATGGGTGAGCAAGTAACATTCCTCGCCCCATGAGTGAGGACTATTCTTTTTGGAAATTTGACCTCCTGCCTGTCTTTTGACTCTGTCATCCCCCAGAGCACTGATGGGGGAGGGGAGAGCTTCTGGTCCCTCCCCATGAATGCATTGAGTAGGCCCTCCATCCTGAAGAAATGATGGTGGAAAGAGGCAGGAAGGATATGCCTGGTGGTGAAAGAAAGCTATAAGCAAGAGACATTATTTCTGCTCCAGGAATGAATATCTATGCTCCCTAATTGGGAAATCACCTGTATGTCAGAGGTGTTTTTGGAAAACACTAAGAGCAAATGGCTGATGCAATCTCTGATCTTCCCCAAACAGCCCAGCCTCTCGTCCTCCTGGGCCTACCCTGATCCTTTTCTTTATCTGCCTTGATAGACAGGGCTCTGATGAAGAGCATCCACACAGGATGTGGAAGAGGGTTGAAATGCCATCTACCATCTCTCTTTCTCTCTGGTTCTCATTGCTTCCATTTCTACAGAAGCCGTAAGGTCCCCTGACACCAGCACGGGGCCCTTGAGATAGAGCTCATGATATAGTAAGATGTCATGGAAAAAGCCAAATGGACTTTTTGCACAGTGCAATCTCATTTACTATATTGTAAAGCATGGGACTCTTCATGGGTTCTTGAGGCAAGGATCCTGGAGTGGGTAGCCATTTCCTCCTCCGGGAGACCACATTTTGTCAGGACTCTTCACTATGACCATCAGGCTTGAGTGGCCCTGCACGACATGGCTCATAACTTCATTGAGTTACACAAGCCCCTTCATCACGACAAGGCTGTGATCCATGAAGGGGAGATAGTGAAGGACAGGGGAGTCTGTCGAGCTGCAGCCCACGGGATCACAAAGTGTTGGACACAACATAGCGACTGGAGAGCAATAAGAAAGCTGGGCCAGGAGGAGGGTCCTCACCTGTGACAGACAGGAGCAGGGGGTCGCTGGGGTCTGACCACGTGTAGGGAGAGCGAGTGAAGGAGCCGTAGCACCTGTAGGCCCCGCTGTGGGCTGGGGTCCCAGGACCCAGAGGGAACTCAGCCTGGAGTGCTCCGCGGGGGCCCCGCCCTCCAGTGAGCGGGCGCCCAAGGTTCTCCCCCTCCCTGAGCAGATGGAACTGGTCAAAGGTGCGCTCGGAGCTGCAGAGCAACGTCACGTTCTCTCCTGACCTCACCACGGGCCCCCGCTGGGCTGAGAGAGAGGGTTTCTTGAACAGACCTTGAAGGAGGAGACCTTGATCTGAGAGCATTGAGTAACTCTAGTCCTAAATAGAGGCCTAAGGCCAGAAGTGTGCAACGAGAGAAACATTGCAATGAGAAGGCCGCCCACTGCCATGAGAGAAAGCCCTACAGCAAGGAATACCCAGTAAAGGGGAAAATTCAGACTTTAATAATGGAATGTCACTTAATATCCTTTTTTAATTAAAGAAATATAAATGAATTAACAACTGAATCACTCTTACGTACAACGGGAAATAACAACATCTTAAATCAACTAGAATTCAACCAAAAAAGAAAATTTAAAAATCAACCAGATTGGGCTGCTCTTGAAAAATGGAACCTAATTACTGTTGCTGGGACTCTAAGAAAACATGGCAATGATCCAGATGCAGATATCATGGAGTGGAAATTGGCAGAACCTCACAGGATATTTGACCACCTCACACTTGAGGGAGTGTTCAGCGCTGCTCTGCCCACTCCCAGGGGCTGGAAGGGACTCCTTAGTGGGGAGGGTTGGCAGGGAGAACTCCTTCCTCTTTGGGCAGAAGGAAGCGTTAAACCACAAGGCTGAGCAACTTCAAGGTGTTGACCTCCGTCCTGACCACCCAGGCGCCAGACTGCAAGGGTGTCTGGTACCACAGTGCTCCTGGCAGAGGAAGGGAGCTCTGACATGAAGGCAGGAACCTGGCCCCTTAACCAACCAGCGTTGGCTGCCTGAGCCGGGAACTGCCCGGGTCCCTGCTCTGGTGCATTTTTCTCCATCTCTCGTTCTTTCATGTTCTTGCTGCTTCACTCTGTCACTGGCTGTGTCTTCTCTTTAGCATAGGGCAGGTGCTCTGTTCTCTTCTCCTTCCGTGTTCACACCTCCTCTCTCTCTGGTTTGTTCCCTCTCACGAGTGTGTGAGTGTCTGCACACCTGTCACTGTCTCCCGGTACTGATGCTGGACTGGACACCAGACCTTCTGTGACACAGACAGCAGAAGGGACTGGTCTGGACACACTCACCTGTGATGACGATGTCCACGGGGTCGCTGGGGGCTGACCACTCATAGGGGGAGTGGCTGAGAAAACTGTAGCATCTGTAGGTGCCCACACTCGCCAAAGTCATGGGGCCAATGAAGAAGTCAGCTGAGGCATTCCTGCCTGTGAGCGTCTCTCCACGTCTCTGGAAATGCCCTGTGCTGTTTTCCTGGTGCAGCATAAACTTGTCAAACCACAGTGGTGAGTGACAGCGAAGGGTCACATTCTCTCCCGCCTTCATGAGGGGGCCTGGGTGGGCTGAGATGGAGGGTTTTGTGAACACACCTAGGAGCAAAGAGGTTGTGAACTTCAGTGAGTCATCCCGCCTCAGTGCTTCCCCTGAGAGCTGAGGGTGTGAAAAACGTCCCCGTGAACCAGCAGAGCCAATTACCCTTCCTGTCTGTTCTGTTGCATTCTCTCTAGCCTTGTTCTCAGGCTCTGGCTCATGCTTTTCTCTTTCTTTTTGCTCAAGACCTCCAGCCTCCTCTGTGCTTATTCTAAACTCTTTAGCTGCTGGATCTGCTCTCAGCTTCATGCATACATGCTCAGTCACTCCACTCATGTCCGACTCTGTGGGACCCCATGGAATGTAGTGTGCCAGGCTCCTCTGTCCATGGGATTCTCCGGGTGAGAATACTGGAATGGGTTGCCATGCTCTCAGCTTCATCCCATCCCTAATACTCGTGGTGGGGTGCTGGGTGGTTCTGAGGATGCATACCCTGGCTCCCTTCACACTCAGATAGAATGTGGGCAATGTCTGGCAGGATGGTGGGATGGAGGTGGAGAAAAGGGAACATTTCCCATTTGACCCCATCTCATGCCTCTGGAGACTTTCCTGAGACTCCTCCCTGGGGCTCCATCTCCTTCATCGGGGACTACAGCTCCCTACTGCGTGGCAGGTGCTGGATCAGGGTCATTCCCCATCCCCTTTGCTGGCAGGCAGTGGCCGAATCTTGTCTAACTAATGCTGAGGGAGTCTCCCTTCCTGAGCCGGGCACCCCATCTATTCAACACCCAGAGTTTAAACTCTCAGACTGGGTTCTCTTTCCTGGTTCATTTCTGTCTAGGAATCACTAAGTCTTGAACCACATAAGGAACTTGGACCTAGGGTGGGATTGCCTGCATAGAAGGCTGTCCCAGGCTTGGCTGGACCCCTCATACCTGTGACGACAATCTGCAGCGTATCACTGTATATGGGGAACAGAAGGAGAAACCTGGAGAATCCAGAACACGTGTAGGACCCAGCATGTTCTCTGGTCACTGGGCCAAGGGTGAAGTTGTTGAAATGATTTCCCTGGAGCTCGAACAAACTGGTCCCATCTGTTTTGAACAGTCTGAATCTCTGAAGTGGAGAACGGAAGTGACACTGGAGAGTCACAGTCTGTCCTAAGGCAACCACGGGGCTTGGCCAGGCTGACAAAGAGGGCTTCTCAAATTCAGCTAGGAGAGATGGAGGCACAGGTTTTGAGAGGAAAATAGGAACAGTCTCCTCTCCCCACTGCTCTTGTTGGAGCACTTCCCCTTCAATTCTTCCAAGGTACCTACTCTAAAGTGCATCACCCTGATACTCAAGGACACCTAGGGCTTGGGGACAGACAGAGACACAGTCAACCCAGGACAGACATCATGGAGAGCCTAAGGATGTGATTCTGAGCAGTGATTCTTCACAGGAGAAGAATCAGTCCTTGGCTTGACAAAATGTTGAAAACTCTCTCGAAACACAAAACATTGAGGATTCCTAGGCGGTCAAGTGGTTAGTACTCAGCACTTTCTCTGCCAAGGGCCCGGGTTGACTCCCTCATCAGGAAACAGATCCTGAACACTGTGCAATGCATGCAAAGGAAAACACCACGGAAAAATGATGCATGGAAAAGAAGTTAAAGGACTTCGTGTTGTATTTTTTGTAGCTCAAACAGTAAAGAATCTCCCTGCAAAGAGCAGGGTTCAGTCTTCAGGTAGGGAAGATGCCCCGGAGAAGGAAATGGCAACCCACTCCAGGATTCTTGCCTGGAGAACCCCATGGACAGAGGAGCCTGGTGAGCTACAGTCCATGGGGTCACAGAGTCAGACTTGAGAGAGTGACTAACAGTAACACAACTAAGAAGAGAAAAAGCCACTTGACTGAAAAGCAGGAAGGAACAATGAACCTCACTCCTTTGTTAGCTAGCCTCCATCAAATGTGGGACAAGGTCCAGGTGGCCCTGCCTGATGCCCAACCCCTCCCCTGGGGTCAGGTCTAGTGGGCGGTCCTGCAAATCCTTTTGTGAAGGGTCGGTTGGAGATGCCACCTTGTTGGAGAGGGGTCTGTGGGCTGCAGCCGCTTGCTCCCCACTCATGATAGAAATGGCACTCAGGGGGCCCAGCTCCCAGCTCCCAGACTTCACACTGTACCTTCAGGTCCAGAGCCCAGAGCCAGGCTAACCTCTGGGGAGAGTGAAGATGAGTATCAAGGCCAATAGAGGACCTGGGGTCCACAGGGCATGCGGCTCTCACTGTACTGACAGGGGTCTCACCCTGCCCCCCAGTGTCATCTGCCTCAGCCCCGCCTGCTCTGCTCAACAGAGAAATAAGGGATGGGGAGGACTCACCCACAGCTTCCCAGATCCTCAGACTCACACAGAATCCTAGAAGGAAAAGCCCATTAGAGATGGCTCGTCCCGATGGACCCCATGCTCCTTGCACCCTCATCCAGGGAATCTGGGCAGTGGTGTGAAAACCCCCAATTTCCACCATAAACCTCCCCAGTAGGGTCTTTCCAGACTCACCGAGACTCAGGACCCTGAGGAGTGTGGGGTACATGGCTCTGCTTCTGTGAGTCAGGAGGCAGGACTGAGCAAAGCTGACCGAGTCACAGGATGCGGAAGGCGGGTGGTGTTGTTCGTACAGTCAGCCTGGTGCATGTCACAGGGGAAGATGACCAGCCTCTTCTCACGCCAGGGATTGAAGTGTGTCTGAGCCTCGTCAATGAGGTCACCTCATGACCTGAGAGTCACATTTTGTTTCCCTGAACACTATAAACGTAGGAGGATTTGAACAGCTCTTGCTTCCATCAGGGGTAGAAACAGTGATTTGGTGTATAGCATGCAGGATGCTTTCCCCAAGCTCATGATAAATGTCATTAACCTTAAGTCTTTGAAGAAGAGAAATCACATGTACCCACCTCTTATCTCAGGCTCAGTACAGGTTACCAGTTAAAGAATCATTAATAGAGACTTTGATTCTGCATTCTTATAAGAGGAACAGTCATGCATATTATGACTCTTTGAAAATTGTAAAAAATTGTATATTGTAATATATGTGATTAAGAAACTAACTAATTGTGTTAGTTTCAGCTGTACAACAAAGTGATTCAGTTATACATATACATGCATATATTGCTCTCAAATTCTTTTCCCAATTATGTAGTTACAGAATATTAAGTAGAATTCTCTGTTTTTACAGTAGGTCCTTTTTTATGTAACATAGTTTTTTTTCATTTATTTTTATTAGTTGGAGGCTAGTTACTTTACAATATTATAGTGGTTTTTGTCACACATTGACTTGAATTAGCCATGGATTTACATGTATTCCCCATCCTTGTTGGTCATCCATCTTAAATAAAGCCTTGTGTATATGTCAATCCCAAACTCCCAATCTAACCTCCCCCTGACACTATCCTCCCTGGTATCCATAAGTTCATTCTCTGTGAATCTGTTTTATAAATTAGTTCATTTTGTTAGATGTCACAAGTAAGCGAAATCATGTGATTTGTCTTTCTCTGACTCTTCTTCATCTGAAATTATTTTGTGACTGTGAGTGGAAACTTTGCACACACACACCCTTTCTGTCTCTCTCTCTTGCTCCCTTTCCAATCCAAGAACCACACATGTACACAAAGATAATGTGTGTAAAGATGACTTGGTGTTTTTGGGGGAGGGGGATTTGTTCTGCCTGAAAAGGTGGACAACCTTGCTTACTACATATTCAAATGAACACAAAATATGTCAAGTAGAGACTTCCAAACTCCAGAATGCTTGAGTGAGAGGCATGTCCACAACGATCATCTCCAAACAGGGACAAAATGGCCCAGCTCTTTCCGGACTCCAAGAGCAGTCATACACCCAAATCAGCTGTTGTTCATGGACAGGAAAGAACCTCAGTAAGGGCAGTGATTCCACACCATTTTGCTGGGGTCGGGGGTTGTTAACATTATTGATGCTCCCTAAATAATAAATCTAATCTCCTCCTGATCATTATGTATGTAAAACACTAACAGTACAGTCATTCTTCTTAAACTTTCCTTTTATTTACTTAATATCCTGTTTCTGAATTGATCTATATTTTTTGTCATTTCAGTGTGTGCATTTTTCCTGCCATATATTATTTCATTCCAGAATATAAACCACAAATTTTTTAAAATTAAAACAATTTTGAAGTGTATTTCATTTCTGCGGTACAGCAAATTGATTCAGCTCCACATATATATTCTTTTCCATTATCATTTATGGCAAGATCCTGAATAGAAGCCCCTGTGCCATGCTGCAGGACCTCAATGTTAATCCATTTTATGTAAAAATAGATTTCATCTGCTAATCCCAAACTCCCAATCCTTCCCTCCCCCTTGACAACCACAAGCCTGTTCTCTATGTCTGCGAGTCGGTTCCTGTTTCATTGATATGTCCTTTTCAGATTCCACAGATGGGTGGATATCACATGAACTTTGTCTTTCTCTTTCTGTCTACTTCACTTAATATGTTAATTCCAGGTCCATCCATGCTGCTGCAAAAGGCATTATTTCATGTTTTAGATCTATGAGTGGTATTCCATTCTCTCTGTCTTTAATCATATCCATTTTATTTATTCATTCATCTGTCGATGGACATTTAGGCTGTTCCTATGTCTTGGCTATTGTAAGTTTTGCTGCTATGAACACAAGGGTGCATGAATCTTTTCAAGGTATAGTTTTATTCCAGATATATGCTCGGGACTGGAATTGTTGGATCACATGGAAATTCTGTTTTTAGTTTTTTGAGGAACTTCCATACTGTTTCCACAGTGGCTGTAGCAGTTTACACTCCCCCAACAGTGTAAGAGGGTTTCCCTCTTCTCCCCATGCTCTCCAGCATCTATTATTCATCAACTGTTTAATGATGGCCATTCTGATCGGTATGAGGTGGTACCTCATCGCAGTGTCAAATGGCCTCTCTCTACTAATGAGCAATGCTGAGCATCTTTCCATATGCCTGTTGGCCATGTGCATATCTTCCTTTAAACCACAGATATCAGTTGTGAGAGTGACGTCTATGGATTTTGTTGAAAATGAACGACACCTCTGCTGATGTCTCATAAATGTGCTCTGAGCCCAACCTCACGTTGTTGTCAAGGGACGAAGTGATGAGTTCTTCAGGAAAGGAATAGTGACTTTATTTGGAAAGCCAGCAGACCAACGAGACAGCGAACTTGTGCCCCAAAGAATAATATTTCCTGAGTTAGATGGGCTTTTGGGGGAGTGAGAGGAATGGTCAAACAGTGCTTACTGAATGTAAAATGATAGTAGCCTATTGGGAAGAACATTCCAAGGAGAAGAGAGAACGTTACATATTAAACACTCACCTGTGAACTCACACTTTCATACTTACATCACACACACACACACAGACACACACACACACTAAAAGAGGAGGAGGGGTAGCTGGTTGTTGCAACGTTTTAATTAATTCATTAATGGCTGTACTGGGCACAGGTTTTCTCTAGTTGCGGGAAGGGGGGCCTGCTGTTTGCGGTGGCGCAGGGTCTTCTCGTCGCCGTGGCTTCTCTTGTTGTGGAGCACCCGCTCTAGGCACATGGGCTTGTGGCCCACGGGCTTAACTGCCTGAGGCATGAGGAATCTTCCCAGTCCCAGGATCAGACCCCTGTCCCCCACATCGGCAGGCAGATTCCCAACCACTGGACCATCAGGGAAGTCCTGTTGCAAGCCTTTTGTCTTCTTAATTTATTTTTAATTTAAAGAAAACTGCAATATTGTTAGTTTCTGCCATACATCAACACGGATCAGCCATAGCTATCGTTACGGCCCCTCCACTGTGGAAACTTTTAATCCTGGAATCCTCTGTTCTCAAAGCTGTCCATGCAGGTCTGGTCATACTCTCCCTCTAAGCCCACAACAAGACAACAGGTTTTGTCTGTTCTGCCACCTTTTACCTCTTTACGAAAGGGAAAGTGTAATACCTTTCAAGTTCAGAGCCTTGAGAATAGTTTTAGTACCTCAGTCATGTCTGACTCTTTGTGATCCCACAGGCTGAAACACCCCAGCTTCCTCTGTCCATGGGGATTCTGCAGGCAAGAATACTGGGGTGGGTTGCCATTTCCTTGTCCAGGGGATCTTCCCAACCGAGGGCTCGAGCTCAGGTATCCCTCATTGCAGGCGGATTCTCTATCATCTGAGTCACCAGGGAAGACCAGCAGTAGATAATGTGATTCAATATTTCCTCCCACAATTAACATTGCCACTGTTTTCCACTGACTTTTAACGTGGACCTGGTGGGGTTTTTTCATCGTGCTTTCACTGCCAGGGTAGCACAGCACTGAGGTAGAATATACCATAGATTTAAAAATAGAAGTGTGAATACAATGCTAGGTTTCTAACTTAAAAAGATGTGCAACAAGCGAGACAGATTTCCAGTATAGCACGGGGAACCACAGTCAATATGTTGCAATAACCTAAAATGGAAAATAATCTGAAACATAATGCATGCATATTTGTACAACTGAAGATCACCTTGCGGTGCACCTGAAACACTGTAAGTCAAGTAGTCTTCAATAAAACGTATATAATATGAGATTAGAAAATGGAACCAGTAAAATAAATGTGTTAAAATAAAATGAAAGAAAACTAATTCACTAGTCATGTCTCACTCTCTGCAACCTAATGGACTGTAGCCTGGCAGGCTCCAATGTCCATGGGATTTTCCAGGCAAGAATACTGGAATGAGTCACCATTCCCTTCTCCAAATAGTGCAGGTCAACTGCAGCAGACTCCCCGATGGTCTGTGTGCTCACTGTCACACTCCAACTCTGCATACGGGGTATTCACATGGGCACCCTGAGTGGCCCAAAAGAGTCTCAACCCACATGATGAGTTTCTGGAAAGTCCCTGGAAGGAAGTCAAAGGCTGAGACCCCGGACCTCTGCACTCCACACTCCCCAGCTCAGCTCAGGAGCCCTTCCAGGCTTCACCACCATCACTCCAGGATCCCAGTGCCCCCACCTCCTCCCACACCGATTTCCTGGGCCAGAAGTGAGACATGGGGACCAGGAGCCCTGGGAAGACTCGCCTGCAGGGTTTGGGGTCCTCTGGCCCAGACTCAGCCTTGGAAGTGAGAGATTTGCCGCTGAAAGCCTGGGCTCATTCTCTCCCCATCAGGGCCCCTAGTCCCTCCAGCCGCCTGAGCCCTGACATTCCTGGGAACTAGGGGTGGGGACTGGGCGTCCCGTGCCCTCCTGCAGTCCCCTCCTGCCCTCCAAAACTGGCTGAGGCAGAGAAGCACAGAGAGGATGGAAGGCATGGCTGCACCTCTGAGCTCCTAGACATGCCCACCTTGGGGGTGGGGGGCTGCTCTCTGCTGTGTGAGGGCTCTCATCGTCCTGGCTTCTATTGTTGTGGAGCTCCCACTCTAGGCACATGGCCTTGTGGCCCACGGGCTTAACTGCCCCCTGGCATGTGGAATCTTCCCATTCTCGGGATCGGGCCTGTGGCCACTCATGGGCAGGCCAATTCCAACGACTGGACCACCAGAGAATTACTGTTCCAAACTTGTTTTCCCCTTAATTT